AAAACTGCAGCTTGCAGAATCTTTACAGATTCTGCAAAGATTTTTGCAGACCGAGTGTTTTTGGGTAAAAGTAGTATAACACAGTACTGTTTTGTACCTGGTTTTCTCTGCGAAGGAGTGAACATCACAATAGACATTTATACACCATTCGATAGCCCTTTTCAAGGGCTACATTCTAGACTATTTGTTTTTGAAAAAGGAGTAACTTCGATTTTTCACCTAATGTCCGCCTAGATGCCCACTGTGAAGGAGTCGCTTATCGAAGTCAAGCTTGTAAAATATTTTTTCTCATACGTCATGATACAGTTGTTCAAAATTTCGTTCAACGTGATAATTGTAAAAGATTAATTCCGTATCAGCCAACTTCTCACTCGAATCCTCTTGGATCATATAACTAAATTTTCATAAGGAAAACTTGTCTAAAAAACGCGAACATTCCATGGACAAAAAAAAAGTGTCGATGGCGTCTATTCACTATTCTTTCAATCAAGAACAAATTGAGATATTGAAACGATACCTTTCTGTGTAGTAACTACTGGAATTTTACTCGACTTCAACTAGTTTTATTATATGAGCTATTTGAGGGAGTTTGATGTAGCATCTCTTTTATCATGCAAAAAAATCAGAGTAACATTGAACACACGGGTCTTGATAGTACGTGTTCTGTAATAGCATGCGGATAGGGTTGTACATAGCGTTCCCGCTGTAGTCGCGACACCCATCTGACATCAAAGGCAGACGGTGTTAGTTCCTTTAGTAGAGGAGATGGATTCTCTAGCCCCGAGAATACGTCTGGAGAGTCCCCATATTTTAAGTCTTGACGACGACCGCCAGAAGACGTATCAAGTACCCTTTCAGCTTTAAACCTCTACTTGACGAGCGTCCTGACGGGGTTTCGGTCTGAAGCTGAAAAAGGTGTGGGGGAAGTCTCACTTTCGGACCAGTCCAGACGCCATTTAACCACTTCTTTTTATTTACCTGGAAACTATCAACAGCGACATCTCTCCCCGACTTCTTTTTGAGTATCATTCAAGAATTTCTCCATCAATCAAGTTACATTGAATGATCAATCTGACTGATTTTCTTTTCTGCTCTTCGCTGTTCGACAGCGGCCATAGTTTTGTCGGAAAATTGATGGTGGAAAGCCACAGAAAAAGTTTTACTTCTACACTTTTAATGTAACAATTGATAAGACAATGTGACACGTTAACTGTAATAATACTTCTGTAAAGAAACTGTTTTATATTTGACTTCCTATTGTGACCATCTATCATATAATGATAAACACTTTTATCTCAGAAAACTTTTCATAAGTGAAGAAACGTCTTAAAGAGGGCAAACATCAATTTTCAAACGGTTATTCTACTCTTTTCTGTCTTTTATACTTCTTAGTAGTTGTTTTAACTTGTTCAACGGTCAGGATGTTTTTTTCTTGTCTTAATCTTTAAAAAAAAGAAATCGAAGAATATTCGAGGAAATTCGACTAGTGCAAAGTTGATGTTTTAACAAAATAAAGTTGCATTATCTCTTTCTGCGTCTTTCTTTTGTAACTATTTCTACGTGCAGTATTTGCTGTGTTAAGTTCATAATTAAATACGAAGAAAAAGTTCAAAAGTTTTTAATTAAAAGCTGTGTTAAATGATTTCAAGAATGTTTTGATTTTCAGTTTTTGTAACAAAATATTCTCCTTTTTTGAAATAGACATTTATCTTTTGTATTATTTTAGACGTTATATTGGATTTCTATTCAGAGAAAAATTCTCATTATAATTTTAGAATGTCTGTAAGATGACAAATGATACAAATGAACAGGATTCATCAGGTAATTGTTTGCCATTTGTTTCAATGCTTTTTTCTACATATTATTCTACTTTTTTAAGAGACAGACTTCTGCCGTGTTTGTAGAAGTGAAGCTGGACCTGATCGACCATTATTTTATCCTTGTGTTTGTACCGGAAGTATAAAATATATCCATCAGGATTGGTAAGATTTTCATGGCAAAAACTATGAATTTTATTGTATAATCTATGAAATTTCTTTTAGTCTCACTCAATGGCTCAAATACAGTCGCAAAGATACATGCGAACTATGCAAACACAAATTTCATTTTGCTCCGAGTATGTTTGACCAACTATATTAAAACTACTTATATAAAGTATGATGCTCGTTTTAGTTTACCACCCAGACATGCCAACTCGTCTGCCAATAAAAGATTTATTATTAGGTTTACTAAAGACACTTTTCAAAGCAATTCGTTATTGGTTTCATTATACGTTAGTTGGAATATGTTGGATAGTGATAGTTCCACTGACAGCAAGTCGAATATATCGATGTTTATTTACCACAGGGTCGGTCTCTGCATTATTTACGTTACCCTTCGATATGCTTTCAACAGAGAATATTCTCTCAGATGTTATACAAGGTAAACGTGTAGAAGTCTGTTCTTTTTGTGTTGTTTAGTATGTTCTCTTTCAGGTGGATTTGTTGTATTTTGTTCGCTGGGTGCATTTATATGTTTATTATGGCTAAGAGAACAGATTGTTTCAGGACAAGGTCCTGAATGGTTGCAAGAGGTTGAACCACCGGCACAACCACATTTGATACAGGGCCAACAAAATGCTCAAGCAACAGTTGATGAAGTGTTGCCATCAGCTGATGAAGTACCATTATCAGTTGATGAAGTAGGACAAAATTTACCGGCAAATAATAATGAAAGGCAAGGTTCCACTGAAGAATTTACTAATAATCATATAATACAAGAAGCTATTAATAATAGTGTCGAAAGAGAGTTATCGGATTATTTACCGGAAACCGATACGATTGATGGTATGTAAAGAATATATATGATCATTGATATGGTTATTTATTGTTTTTGGTGTTTAGGCGATTCATCGGTACCAGTAGGCGAACAAGAACAGTATTATGCTATTGCTGATCGTAATGAAGCGGAACCAATCATAAATAATCCTGCTGATGATGGCGTAGACCCAGTTCTACCTGTAGTTGCTGCCCAGGCACCGGTTGAAAATCACTGGAATCCCGTTGTTGACTGGGGAGCGCCTGATGTTGACTTGACATGGGAACGTTTACTTGGCTTAGATGGAAGTCTTCAATTTCTTGAACATGTGTTTTGGGTGGTATCATTAAATACATTGTTTATATTAGTATTTGCTTATATACCATATCATCTTGGGAATTACTTTACAAACAGTTTGAGTTTTAAACAAGCAATTAAATATACAAAATCTGAAGGCTTAATCACAACGCTGATTAGTTATGGTAAGAAAAAATTATCTTAGTGAGAGAAAATCATTTAAATGAAAGCTTATTTTCTAGGATGTATAATCGTATTGATTGGTTATGTGATAATATCATTTCTTTTATTAATCCTATTCACATTTTTAACACTTATGAATCGTTTCAACCGTTTAAGACGTCTGATTGGCCTATGTTATATTGTTATTAAAGTGGCATTATTAGTAGTGATAGAAATCTTATTATTTCCACTAATATGTGGTATATGGTTAGATATATGTTCATTAAGAATATTAAATGAAAGTTCAACTACACTCAACGATCGAATATTAAATTTTCAAATGAGTCCGGGAACATCATCGTTTTTACATTGGCTCGTTGGAATGATATATGTATTCTATTTTGCCACATTTATATTTTTATTACGCGAAATTCTTAGACCAGGAACATTGTGGTTTTTAAAGAGTGTCAATGATATCGATTTCAATCCTATACACGAGATGATTGTTCATCCAGGTAAGTTTAACGGTTCTCCGTTACATCTAAATAACATTAAGTTTGAATTTTAGTTGGACTACATATTCGTCGTTTTATAACATCGATTATTATATTTGGATGTTGTATTATATTAATGTTTTATATTCCTGGAGAATTTCTGAATAGATTTGTACCAAAATTTTTGCCATACAATATCAAAGGAAATTTGGAGACGGTTGTGTCTGAATTAATGATCGAATTTATTCTGTTACAAGTATGTCAAAAGATAACGATTAACATGATCTTCTTTTAATATATATTTCTACTAGGGTATTCTACCAACACTCTTAGAACAAGGGCAAACAAGAACATGGTTAAAGTTGTTAATTCAATATTGGGTTGAATTTGCGTCATATGTACTGGGTTTACGTTCATATTTACTAGGTAAACATGCTTACATAAAGCCTTTTTTTGAATATTCTTTTTCCATCGGCTTCAGAACCCAGTTAGCTACTTATTAAATTATATTTCTATCTTCAGGTGACGATGATGAAATGGAAGCAGAAAATACGAGAAATATAGCTGTAAATCAACATGAAAATAATTTATTAATCGTTCAACCTCCTCCACCACCTGTTGTAGCTGCCCCACTCAATATTGGTCAAGCCCATCAACAATTACTCCAAGCAAACCATACAGAAACACACCAACCATTACCTTACCGACGTCCAACCTATTTTCGTCTACGCCTATTTGGTTTATTTTTATTTATATGTTTATCGTTAACTATCTTTAGTTTGATTGGATTAATTTTACCTGCAACCATCGGCCGTATTCTACTCTCCTATATGACTGGTTCATCAAAATTGCATGAATTATATACAATTTTATCTGGATTATATGTAATATGGCTAATTGCAAGATTATTTTCATTTATACGATCGTTATTACCGTTAAATATAGGCAGTATACTTATTCGATTGAAAAGCTACGCAATATTAAGCTTAAGAGTGATACTGTGCGCATTTTTTATACTCGTCTATATCCCATTTATGATTGGATTATTCAGCGAAATAGGTACGCTTGTTTCTGAAAATATTGTGTAAACTTTGTGTACTTTGACTTCTCAAATCATATCAAATATTGCTATTTTACATTCTAGTTTTAATAATACCGTTGACGACAACTTTAGAACAAACAGCTGTACTAACACCCTTACGTCTTTGGATTATAGGATTATTATCAACGAAGATTACAATAGGTACAGTAATCAATAAGAATGTTGATAATGTTCAAAAAAAAGAAATTGACTCTTCTTTATTTTGTTTAGCATTGATTATGGGAGGTCCTCAATGGCGTATTAAAACTGTTTTAGAACGATTATATACAGATGGTTTGAGACGCATTGATTTCAAATATTTATTCAGAGAATTATTATTACCTTTCACGATTAATATTGGCGCTCTAATGGTATTCCCATTTTTATTTGTTTCACACATAGCTCCTTTATTATTTTCTCCTAAACTTCAATGTGTATTAAATCGATATATTTATTGTTCAATAATCACTTTCTTGTTCACCTCTTCATTTATTATATTTCAAGCAAAACAAATAAGAATATTATTTGAACATATTCGAGATGACAAATATCTTGTTGGTAAACGATTGATCAATTATGAGAGATAAGCAATATTTTGATGATATTTTTTCTGGTTTTATTTTTGGAGCCATTATATATATCTGTGTGCAGTTCAAATTCTATCCATTAGTTTAACATTTCTTCCCTTTTTAAACATGCAGAACATTATTCTTATTCTACTGAATAGAATAACAAAATACAGCGTCATAATTTGTTTACTTTGGCAACGATTTAACCCACATTTTTTAAGATGTGAAATTAGCAGCTAAATGTCCCATAACTGAAGTCGATTTATATGTGTTCATCGAAAATCGCCTTTAAACAACATTGTAAATTTGTGAATGTATAGTAGTCTTGAGAAGTATCGCACCATAATGTATCTCTAGAATCATGATTGCTTTTAGATTGAAGTTATGCATAACTTCAGCAATATGTTGATTATCTGAACATGTTTCAGCCCGATTAGATCCGTGTCGGATTTTAGTTTCAGTTAATACTATGTCGATAAATCGCGATGGCTGATAAGACAGTTTTATTTACTGAGAATTTTGTATGAGAATGTAACTTCTAGACAATACTAGAACATTTTTTTTTATAATTGAGCCAAAATATGAAAAGTGAGAGTTTTCAATCAGTAACAGTCAACATATTTATGCGTTGTATTTTATCGTCGAATAAAGTGTGTATCTTACTTCACTCTAGGAGTTACTGTTATGTTAGTAATAAAAAAAAATAGGATGTCTTACAGAGTTAAAATTGGATTGAAACTTGCTAAATGATCAACATATGGGACTATACAAAATTTCATGTTACTATTTCAGATGCTGGATGGGATACTTCTGCGTATTACTGTATTTCACTGTTAACACTTTTTTAAATGTAATATTTATCTCACAGTATGTATCTTTCTCTTCGTTGTATTATTTCACTCATCCTCTTTTTATATGTACCTTCGTTTATTATATTTCTCTTGTTTCATATATATAAACGAAAATGTCGTTGTTCATGAGCAATGTTTGTCATGGTGGAAACAAAATAACGAAGAATTTTGTTTACGCAAGTTATATAAGTCCATACTGCTTTTCTTATTTGCACACTAAACAAAAAAATGTCTGGAGATTTTAACAAATCGAAAATGAGATTTTTGCCATATTAGAGTATTTTTAACAGAAGAGACCATTTACTCCTAAGAATAGAAACAAATGAGATTCAAAGAATAGTTTAGCATTTTTAATAAACACGAAAATAAATATATAACTTTTTTTATATATAACCAGTGATTTTCATCAAGATTCTTGATTCAAATATGTTATAAAACTCAGCATTCAACTCTTCTTCATATATAAAAATTGTCATAAATAAAATTGTTCATATCAAATTAATCTATTGTTGATGAAATAATACAAATAGAGCATCTGTACGTTTTTTCAAATATCTAACTTGGAATACTTTAGTCATTCATTAATGGCATAACTTATTTTAGATGACAGTAACGAAATCACGAAACAAAAGGAATCATAAAGATGACTGTTTCGGATGAAAAAGCATCGATGTAAGATAATATTTTGTAACCATTGTATTCGCTTAGAGTTGGATTCACCAATATAAACTACAATTTTGAATTAATAATGACAAACTATAGGAAAATCTAAACTAATCATATCAGTTTCAATTTGAATATCAAATAATTATCTCTTACCGTAATTCACAGGAAAATTATAGACTAAACCATAAAATAAATAGAAAAATCATTGTGATATGAATGGAATGATGGTCATGAAATATATGCATACCGAGTCTGCGTTAAATGTTGTAAGAAAAGACAGACTTTTATTGATAGAAAAATAAACAATGGCTTCGACTATTGTCCATTTTATCAGTATTACGTGAGAAGAAACGTAATTAAAGTGAGAGATCCTATAGCAGATGTTTTACTTGGTGAAAAAATAATTTTTATTTTTGGACGAAAATAATTTGAATTTTGAGAACTAGGAAGATCACCTTTTATGCTATTAAATTCGACTAATGAATCAAATGCTTCAATCTATACACTTGTTTTCTTTCTCTTGTTTCAACTTAGTGCACAATGTTATCAAATAAAATTTACAAATCTATTTTGAATAGTAAAAATGAGATTTTCAAGGAAACGATTTCGTCTTTTTCCATTCGTAAACAAGACGACCATCATTATGATAACTGATCAGCAGATCGTATACTGTTCTTTCACTAAAATTCAAAACCAAGAACTTTTAAAATCGTTTTAGTTATTAGTTATATCTAGATGTATTTCAAAAAAGTGTTAAACAAACAAAGAAACAAACAAACAAATAAGTAAAGAAAAAAAAAGAGATTAATAACAAAAAAAAGAAAACAATTACATGTTCATATGTTCGAAGATAGCGATTTTTTATATTAGAGACATATTGTAATAACGAAAGACGTACGTTATAATGATAGACAATAGAAGATAACACTAAGAGGAAGATAGATTTATACTTTATTTATTCACTCAAGAGAGTCGTGGATATGTAGAAGAAAAAATGATTGCAGAATTTTGAACAAAACAAAAAAATCTGCATAGAGATCAAAGCATGAGGTGAGAATTGAGCAATCTGACACGGATAAATAGACGATAAAAGAAAGAAATATAAACAAAGTAGAAAAAATTGACTTTAAGAGATTAACGGTAAAAAAAAAAGGAGAGAATATAAATGAATGTACCAAATGTCAGAAATGGTAGTCCAGCTAAGACAACAAAATCTCGTCTATAAAGTTTATCTTACCGGTATTTTTTCTTGAATCATCTGTACAAAAGAAAAGAAAAAACACGAGACAAGGATTATTTTATCTTGTGTTCTTTTATCTTCAGAGTATTTCGTTTATTCCAGCTTATTTATTCTAAGAGTAATTTTATGAATCTATCAGACGTATTTTTTGGTAGAGAATAAGAGTATAAAATAATGATCCTGCCAATAAATTATATAAAAACAACGAATAGTAACAACAACAATGATAAATAATATTATACAGTTAGTTGCTTTTAAGAATTTTATCCAAAGAATAGAAAAAAACTCATGCGTAACGAAGAACTCGATCGTTTTATCTCTTTAACGTATTGTATTGCGTATACGCGTGCGACTGAGAACGTGAGATGTGAGAAATATAGCGAGAACGATAAATAAAGAAATGATAGGCACAAATGAACAAAAATTAGCAACATTTTGTGTTCACACGGTATCGAAAGATGTAACATGTTTCTTCACAAGGCTATAGATGAACAATAGCCATAACAGAAAAAAGAAAAAATATATCGTGTTTGAAAAAGAATATTTTGTTAGACGAAGGAAGATAAACAAAACTCAATTCTATACGATTCTACGCGTTAATATCTTGTTGTACCAATCGAACTGATAATCATAGTTTTTAAATCTCTTAAAAAGACTGGACAATAATATTCGTTTGGTATGGCTGTTAGAACATTTTCTTCAAAATAAACGAATAATGGTAACCAAATCCTAGACAATAAAAGATATAAACGTTATTGTAATCTTGTATTAGCGTTATTCATATTAAATGATGATTTAAGATTAAAACGTTTTAAGAAAAAAGAAAATGAAAGGGCCCTCGGGATATGAAAAAGCACGAGTGTGTGTTCATTCGGAACCAAAACTTGACGATTATCATCAAAAATCATGTGTAAATCAAATGTAAAATAATATGTGGCTAAAAGCGGAGGATAAAATTTGATGATTACTAATATGACATAAAACCTTCCCGATACTAAATAGCAAATATTTTATTAAAACCAAGCCGGAAAATCAGAAATCAAACATACTGAGACAAATGTTGTTTACACCAAAGTATTATTTTTTAATACTTCAAGATAATATTTTAATCGTTTTCGTTCGAAAAAAGAGAAGATCTTAGATCAGAGTAAATGTGATGCTTAAAAGCAAAGAGATTACCTCATTCGTTTTGTGTCTCGCTGTAAAAACGTTCTGTTGTTTGCCAACGTGTGATAATAAATAAATAATCTTGACGCTAGAATCCATGCGATTAAGACATCGATAGAATAATGCTGATGACCAGCCAATATGAAAAACATGCCAGTAAATGACATAAGCCATGTTAGCAAATGGAGTAAGTGATATGATCGTGGTGAATATTCGTTAATGAAATGGGTACACAATATTAGTGTACAAGTATGTCCAGAATACAAATAATCACCACAAGTTCGAACACCATAGAGCGATAAACCTTGACCAATAAATATTAAAAGTGCTTTTCTCAAACGAGCTGGCATATTTGGTAATCTCTAAATACAAAATTTAAGACTAAATATATATCACAAAGCAGAAAAATTGAATTAAAACGCATACGTGGGGTTTGCAATCTGTTATTTCTGTTGCTACTGGTAAAGACGTAAATACCATAGTTAAACTACGTAAAAAGTATAATGCAGCAGCTATAGCGAATAATCGTCGAAGAATTATCAGTCTAAATGGGATATAGAAAACAAATCATATAAGATAGAATAGAGTCTTTATGAGAGCATATATAGCCCAATAAGCATTATTTGTTTAAATTATAGCGCAAGAGTGAATTATTAATAAAAAGGTGGATAAAATAAATAAACAAAGCTTTTTATACTGATCAGTGTGCACAATAAGTATCCCACCATGATGTATCTCTAGAATAATAACAGTTTTTGAGTTGAAATTCACCCAAAATTACCTTTCACTTGTTTTTGTATACTACATATTCAAACCAAGAACAATAAGAGAAACACCAAAACCGATACCTTTGTATATTATAAGTTTTTTCAAATTTAAACTCATCACTAAAATTATATATCTTTCTCTCTTGCTCTCTAGCTTTACTCATCAATTAAATAGTGACAGAAATCATGCAGGATCAAACTTCGGGAACACTGAAAAATTGGAATGACCAATTAATATATTTATAGATAAATAGAAATATTAACATATACATACCTATGTCGATGAAACATTATTACAGCCACTAATGTAGTAACTTCAATCATAATCATATATTCTGTGACAGTAAATGCCCATTTAATTTGTGGTATATTATCTAATATTAGATCGGGTAGAGGAGGATGACGTTTTGGATCTGGTAATCGTTCGTCAACGATCACTATTATAAAACTACAAAACATTAATGCTGCAACAGCTATTAGAAATGCACATAACGTCTTTTTTCGATCACTACGCAATGTCGTTATAATACAACAATTAACAGTGTCTCTATCTTCTATATTTTCAGACAAAGTTCTATCACGATGTCCTTCTGTTGAGAATGCAATTTGTACGGTAGGTGTAATATTACGATCATTGAATGTTGTTGATGATGCAAAATCTCTCGAAAGTGTACGATGATTATCGAGAAAACTGCCGTTCACCGATCCACCAATTTGAGGAGGCGGTCTATGAATAGTGACACTTGGTGAGGTATTCAGATTTGACGATACACTATTTGAATGTTGACGATTTGTATTTAATAATAATGGGATTGATTGTGTATTAATATTGTTGTTATTCGTATGATTGGCAGTTGTGTTGTTATGAAACGAGATGCTATGATTTAACAACGATGATGATGATGATGATGATGATGGTGATGTGACTGGTGTAGAATATGAACTGTTTATTAACTGGTTTTTTGTTTTCAAACTGTCAGATGTTGTTGAAGTAGTTCGAGTAGATGGTGATGACGACGGCATTAATATTGTTGCATATTGATTCGATACTTGTTGCTGTTGTTGCTGATAAGTATATTGTCTATGTAAATGATAATTATTTGAGTAATCTAAAATATTTAAAAGAAATTACGAATCGTCAATGAGTTCGGTGTATATAAAATATCGACTAATTTAGCTCAAATAAATTATTGATAATAAATATATAACTTACATTGCTGTAATTGTTTAACGTGAGACCAAAGTTCTTTATTATCACTTTTATTCGGTACTTTTAATTGCAAAACATCATTTTCTCGCAGGTTCATCAGTGTCATACCATCCATTCGATGCTTATCACATAATAAATGATTATATTCTTGTAAATTATTTTTGATTAACCATTCCCCAACTTGACCAGGTGACCATGTCCAGGGTTCCATGATTAATTTTGATCGTTGTAATAAATAAGTAGATGGCAAATATGATGAATTTATGGCAGAAGATTGTTCTCGTTGATGTTGAGAAGGTGGTGAATAATGATTTGGTTGATAAAACATCATTCTCTCAACTGGAATAAAGAATGAAAAAGAACATAGTTGAATAGTCGAAGAATTGATAGTGTTGATTATGCAACAGTAGAATAGATATATTAACTTGAGCAAAACTAGAAATTATCTGTCAATAATATAAAATAATATATTCTATCCAAGCCATATTACCTCACCTAGAATAGGGTGATTTATATAGTCTCACTGGCATTGTAAAAACTCATTAGTGATTTTGTTTACAACATATAGTTCTCTCTCTTTCACATTTTAATCCATCGAATAATAAAATAATTGTTTAGATATATTTTCACCGTTTATCCTCATCTTTTATTTTGACATAATTCATGCTCTAATTATTCTATCTCTATTTCTCTTCTTGTTTTTCTTTTTTCAGCACATACGAAGATTTTTTCTTCTTCCCACTTTATTTTATGGCTAAATACAAGGCCTATGTACGTCATTGCACTAAGACAAAAAATAAAGTAAGAAAACAAATACTATATTATGATTTTTTCTTTTTTTTCCTACATTAATTGATTTTCATCCTTTCTATATTGAGAGTGTCAAAATAAGTTTCAAAACTACAAAAAAATAAACTAAATAGACTCAAGATTCACAGATCATTCATTAGTGTAGATAACTCAAAATTAATAGTTGAATTAATCATGATCGGAACATTTTTCTCCTCTAATTTTATATCGATCAACGTAAAGTCATTTTGTTGACTATTTAAATAATAAATTATATTGTTTGACATTTAATCACATTAAACAAAAAAGTTTTTTCTATGACAGTACAATCTTCTAAGTTTATATTGACTTTTCTGGTACAATAATCTGTATATATATCAAAACGCAAGTATTAAAATCCGAATTTAGTTTGACAGATTCGTCTAAACTATCAAAAAAAAAATGAATATTCATGTTTTGGCATTCACAGCTCAAAGAAGATTATCGCACAAACTATAATTACATACGAAATCATTACCTTATTGTATTAGTATTAGAGAGTATTATAAAAGATAAACGAAACACTACGATGGAATAAGAGTTAGTGCGAGAGCAATGTTTTTTTTTTTTGAATGAAGAGTAAAATCAGTAAGATTTATTATTTAAAACATCATAATAGATAACGAAAGAATTCTGTTTAATAAGTTATAATAAAAAACAAGTTTTGTTAATAATGTCACACTTTAAGACTGAATTTTATTATGAAACTATGAAAATATTTAGAATTAGAGTCAATCTCTTATTTCAAAAGAACATATTATTACCGGTTGTTATATACTGTCAGTTAGTACACAGTCTCATAATAATAACAACTTCATTACGAAGTAGATATTCTATGACAGAAGTGGAATGTTAGAAAAAAAAATCTGTGATGCATTAAATGTCAGATTATAATAACTTGTTTATCTTTTTGATAGAACGGGTTAAAGTCGAAAAAATATCAATCAATAATATTAATTTAACACTTCAGCGTTTCTTTTTTGTATGAACATGTTTTAGAATTTGACGAAGATTTTATTTTGATAAACAAGAAAAACATCATATTTTTTTGTTTATGAATAATTTAAAACTATTAAATTATATATTTTTACTAAAATTAGATAAGTTTTTTTTTTCTCAAAAGGTCACTTTAGTCTTATCAGTTGTTTTTCATGAGGAAGAATTAATAGAAGGTATAACATTACCATATATGTCTTATGACTACTCTAAAAATTTTAAACTAAAGTTTAGAATTTTCTTTGATAAGAAAATTTTTATATTTTTAACAACTGAGCTGATTTTCAAAAGCAAGAAAACATTATCGACTGCTTCTTTCAAGATGATTGTCGCATCGGCGACGGGCGATGAAAATTTTCTGCTATTCGGCGCTGATGAAACTCTTTCGCGAAAAATTAAAACAAATTAGTGATTTATTTATAAAAAAAATAACTCGTTGTACCCGAAAAAACTATTTTGCATAAAAGATTCATAGGCTCGTAAACGGATGAAGGAAATGGTGTGCATCTTTGCCATAGAAAGCAAACATTTATTAAAAAATGGCTACAAAATTCTTAAACGATGTACAACATTAAGTTTCCGATTACGCTCTTTTCAATAGTAACATTAAGAAAATAATTGAAGGACTCAAAAATGTTTTCTAGAAATTCTAAAAATAGTTGTCAAAAATCGATTTTTTTAAATGAAAGAAACGTGAGCTTCATCTGTCATGACGGTTTAACGATGTTAAAACTTCTTTCCAAAAAACAACAGACGTTATTCACCCAAAAATTAAAAGACAAACAGTTTAAAGTAGTGAATCGTATTTATTTTATGTATTTCAAACATATTAAAATATGTTGAATCCATATAGCATTTATATTTTTCTTATTCGGTTGGAAGAATAGAATACGTATACAAAAAATAGTGGATTTTGCCATGGAAATTGACAGGATCTTTTATAAAAAAGATAAACAAAAAGAAAAAGAAAACAAAATAGAGAAGTTTATATCCTGAAAAGCCAAAATTTCAAGTTACTAATGCAATAAAACCCAATCAAAATTAGTTTTTATACTAAAAAGAGAAAGTTTTTAATCAAACTTGAAATAGATCATGAAGTAGCAAGGTAAAACTGGAAAACATCGAAAACAAATTTTGAAAATAATTTAAATAAAATTACAAATGAACAAACAAAAAGTACAGTTGTAAAAAGCATACAATATGACGGCATTACATATACATACGAAAAAGTTAGATAAGTTACTATACCCATGTTAACTCCTAATTTGAGCATTCACTTAGGAAATCACAAAACTGTTTGAAACAAAAAAATGCTCATTCATAGTTCACCGAAAAGCGGGAAAGTGTATTATATTATCGGACACGAAAGAAAAAACAATAGAAACATATCACATTTGTCGCTTATATACAGTTAAAGGACATATTAAAAAACAAAAAAAAAAAAATCACTTAACTTTTCTTGAACAACAACCGGGATTATCACAATAGCTATTCGAATGAAGTATAGTTTGCTCAGCCGCTTCATGATCGGTCGTATTATTATTCTCATCGCCATCATTTTCTCGGGTTCTGTCCTCGGATGATAGAAATTTCGAGAAAGGATATGGAATTCGAAATACATTGGGTATAGTACCATTCACATTCTTTTCGAAATAACTAAACATTGGAAACCAAATAGATAAACGTGTATCTTTTTGAGTTAGTGCGAGATTATTTGCTAACGAATGATAGTAGAGAAATAATCTTGATGTAAGAAAAAATGCTATGAAGACATCAATTGTATAATGTTCATGAGCGGCCAAAATAAGAAACATGCCAAATATGTTGCATATCCAGGATATTAAATGAATAACATAAAAATCCGATGTTGTATCTAAATAAAGCAAATATACATCGTGAAATCTTGTGAATACAATCTTTTAGACAACTTGTCTTGAGTTTACTTACATTCTGTTATGCAGTGATTAAGCAAGGTAAGCATAACAGTATGTCCGGAGAACATATAATCACCTAAAATAACAAAAATATTTAAAATCACGTTAAACTTATCAACTGAATGAAAATAGAATGTATACCACACGTTCTGACACCTTTGATCGATAATCCTTGAATTGAAAACAACATACTTAAACTAAACAGACTAAAGTAGTACAAACGAATTTATCTACCTTGAAACAAAAATATTTCTAAACCACGGAGAAATCGTTCGCGAAATGTACCGTATTTGAAGGGTGTACATTCTAGGTGTGGTCCAGGTACCGATAAACTTGTTACCAACATAGTAATTGAGCGCAGTAAGAAAATCGTACCACTCAAGGCAAAAAATCGACGTAGAATAACAGTCCTAAAAATAGAAAGATTACAAAAAATACTAGGATATTGAAACATTTTGCTTCCTTACCAATATTTGTGAAAGCACAAAATTAATAAAAACGCAATACCCAGGAGAAAAATTAGATATTCTGTAGCAGAAAATGCCCAGCCTAAACAAATAGAGAGAAATTTGACGCATTGTATAATAAATAAAAAATGCTTAACTTACTGATAAAAGGAATATTATCCAAGAAAATATCAGGTAACGGTGGATATCTAGAGTTTCGATAAGATGACCATTGATGAATTTGATAAAACGAAGTTTTTCTTGCTTACTTCGTGGTATTTGGAACACGATCATGGACAACTGCCATTATGTAGGAAGTCCATAGACAACTCATAAATGCATATAAAAAACTAAAAAATGTTTTTCGCTTTTCGCCACGACACATAGTACAGTAAACTCTTGGATTTGGTTTTGTTTGATAACTATGTGTCTTTGCGCTTAACAAAATCGACGGCGCCAGTTCAGAGTGATTTTCTCTATTATGGTTAGTTAAATCAGATTTTGATTGTGATACTGGAGTACTATTGACTTTTTCATAATATTCATTTGGTATGGTTAACGGATTATAGAAATTTGCTTCCGAGCATTGTAATAAACGAATATGGTACCACAATCTCTTAATATCTTTCAAAGATACAATGGATAATGGTCGAGTTTTTAAATCCTCTTCTTTCATTAATAAAAGTGTTAAACCATCAATTTCATTCTCATTACAAAATTTATCAATATATTCAGTTAAATTGTTTATTTTCATCCATTTTTCAACATCATCTGTGTGCCATAACGATACTGGTGGAGGATTTAGTGTATCCTAAAAATGAAACGCATGATATTAAAATCAACATATAACAAATTTTACACACTAATTAGACTAAAACTAACGGATAGACAAGCTACTCAACTATCTTTGCCACAGAACTAACAAAATAAGATCTTTACGTACGCCTTGATTTAATATTTGTGTTTCATATTGCTCTTCGGAAGACATCATAAATTTTGTACCGTTATACGTACTCACATTTCAATAAAACAAGAGTATATTATGAGAGAGAGAGAATAATCTAAAAAAACATAATAAGAATCAATCAATTTTTGCTGTTGAGTTCAGCGTCTATGAAGTTGAAATAGAAATTAATATGAAAAATCTAGTTAATAGCAAATTAAAAAGCCACTGGATTCTTGTGAGGTGGAACAAAAGTGTATAGTTCATTCTACTGGTCAATTCGAATTTACTAAAAGTGATGATGACCCGAAAAAATCTATTTTTAAAATCTATTCTTTAGATGCTTCTTTGACACACGAAAAACGTTGAGAAAATATATACAAGTGAATCTCAAAATGTGGTATCGTTTTTCGTTACATTTTTTACACCGTTAATGACGTAGCTCGTTCTGTTTTTCGTATAATTGCAGAAGTTCGTCATTTAAAAATGGACGAATTAAAAACAATTATTTAGACTTTATGTGACGTCACTGTAAAAAAATCGCACGCTTTAACCGTGCTAAAGCTGACGGTTTAAACGTCAGAAAAACTGATGCTATTTTTAACCTAACGTTTTAACCGTACCAAGCTGATGCCCTTTTCAACGTGATGATTAAATAAACGCTAGGTCAGGTCAACATGACGTTTTATGTTAACCGTTAGATTGAAAAAAACGTGCAGTTGAAACGTTTCAACTGTCCGCTTTTTTCGCCTTGTAGATATGAAAAGATTTTTAACGATAGAGAGTTTATGGTTGATATTTTCTTTAAGGGTTGGTCTGAAATATTTTTTAGTGAGCGAAATAGATGGCGACACTATCAAAAAATAGCGCGTCGCAAGTTATAGTTCCACTGATTTTTTATCGACTTTTTTCCAAGAGGACTGGCTACATACCTTCACTCATCTCGAAGAATCATACAAGCAGATCGCACAAGATCCGATATGATCAGGGGCCTTTTTCTCAAAAAAAGCTTAAGTTTTACTTAAGTGAAAAATTTCACTTAAAATATTTTACTTAAGTGAGTTTCTCAAAAACACTTAAGTATAATTTTGTTTACTTAAGTGAAATTATTCACTTAAGTAAAACTTAAGTTTTTTCGAGAAACAGGCCCCAGATACGATTGTATTGTATGATTATGATCGTACACGAACCGGTATGAACTTGAATATAATCGTATAGTACAAATCCATACACATATCAAATATGAAATGGTGTGATTGACGTCCGAATCGTGGTCCATGAAAGTTTCGGACAACAATCGTACGCACAGTATTGCATGATACGATCTAGGGCCAGGGGCCTGTTTCTCGAAAAAACTTAAGTGTTTTTGAGAAACTCACTTAAGTAAAACTTAAGTAGAAAATCTGGCTTAAGTCAAACTTAAGTCCAAAAAAGTCTTTGTCTTTTTTGATTTAAGTAAGATTTTCTACTTAAGTTTTTTTAAGAAACAGGAGCCAGTTTCTTAAAAAAACTTAAGTGAAAAATTCGTCTTAAGTCAAATTTTTTAGCTAAGTGTGTTTCTCAAACATTACTTAACTTAAGGCAACTCTCGATTTCACTTAAGTTTTCACTTAAACTTTTAAGTAGAAAATTGTTTAAATTTTGTAACTTCTCTATTTGAAGTCAGTAACCCGTCCAACCCACCATAATTAGACTGAACATAATTTTTTAGAGATTTTGTTCAGAAAATTGCTGTAAAATAATCTAAGTTGTCTAAAATACGAATGGTTTTTACTGCATGACCTCTGCCTGACTTAAGTTTTTTTAAGAAAAGCACTGAAATCAAAACTTAAGTTTGATTTAAGTGTGGCTTATTTTTTCACTTAAGTTTTGACTTAAGTCGATGACTTAAGTTTTTGTAAGAAACTGGCCCCTGATTCTATGAGATATTACGTACGAAATAGCAAGACTACATAAGTCTGATTTTGTAGGTTCATATACGATCTTACGTATGAATACCACATGATTCTGCCTGTTATTTGCTGGTTTCTCTCGCTAGTCTGATTTTTGCTTTTCTTTTGCGTTTTTACGAATCTTTTTGTGAATCTTTTTCATGTCTTTTAATCATACATGTGAGGGGAGATATAAAAGGTTTAGAAAAAGAGCCGCTGGGTTGGAAGAACTGTAAAAGTATTTCAGTTCACTGGATAAATCGCGTCAAAACAGAAAAAAGAATTTAAAAATAAAAATAACATAAATCTCTTGAAAAGAAAAATCAACAAGCAGAGCCTTACAAAAGAAATGTGAATTGAGATGAAAAAAAGTGCTTATTTCGTAAAGAAAAGTTATTGGGAGTCGAAAAACGAATAATTTTTTTATGTACATTTACATCGAAATTAAAATCATCCATTAACACAGATGTTGTATTTATTGTTGCATATTGATTAACAACAACAACAATTAACAACAAGCTCGTTTTTTATGTAAAATGATTTTACAAAAGTGTTTTTCAATTATATTAAATATACTTAGTTTTATAAAGAACATAAAAAAGTCAGAGAATGTCAACACCTTGCCTGCCTGCCTGCCTGCCATTGCTCTCGGCCTAGCCTGGCCGTTTTTTCAATAAACAAAATGTACAAATAATAGTAACATAAGATGAAAACAAAAGTGATAGATAACTAAACAATATATCTCAGCAAAAAATATTTGGTTTTTGTTCAAGTATTTTCTGAACTGATCTAACTAACAAGATATCCTCAACAGTGTTCATTAACGACGTTCATTAATAACAAATCCAGTAGTACTAAACTGCCGTTCAAAATCGGCAGATGTTGCCGGAATTGAGAACAGTCGCCTTGCTAATAACGATAAATTTGTGAATTTCAATTGATTTTCTTTCCAAAATCCCAAGGAATCTACAGCCGAAATGCTAAATTTTGAATAAAAATACGCAAATTTCATAGGCTAGGTCGCGTGGCTTTTTCAAAGGTCTGCCTGAACTTATTTCAGCCTAGGCCTGATCTACCTTAGCCTGATGCACGTCGACAGTTTGTGGCCTGACCCTCGTTTATATGATGCTATGATCCGCGCAGCTCTGGCTCACGTCAAACCAACTTCCGAAAGTACGCTTACGCAAAGCTTTGACCACAAATGTTATCATCAAACTAACTAAATTCCTGTAAACATAGCGCTCAAGCTAAAAACGCACTGACAGTAAAGGGTAAGGCTTCCTTCTGGCTCTAATCTTCTGCCCAGGTTCATGATTACGACCGTCCTATACGATCGTATACGTCAAATTACGACGACATAATTTGACGTATACTATAGTATTTCATCGTATTTTGACGTAAACCCGGCCAACGTATTACGTCAGCCGTTACGACCGTTGTATTTCAACGTAGCGCCGTCGTTTAGGATGGACGTAATACGTTGGCCGGGTTTACGTCAAAATACGATGAAATACTATAGTATACGGTCGTGAATCTTTGACCTGGGTGAATCAGCGCTGCTTTCTTCTGAACTCTGAATGTCATACTAAAACTGTCTTATAAAATAATCAGAATTCAATTCAAAGAAAGACCAAAAAGCAAATAAATGGGTTGAGCATCACACAACATCACGAGGATAGTAGATGGTGCTGCCAAACAGCTAGTGTGCTTAGTGCTATGAAAGTGAAGCGTGAACGTGCTGTGAAATTAAAGTGAATTTTCTGCAGCAATAAACGTCTAACACTACACAAGTCATTTGAATTCGAAATTGAGTTTTTTTTAACATTTCAAATATAAATCGCAGCAAAACCAAGAAAATGATCTAAAGAGGACGATTTCGATTCAAATCATATGAAATCGTACGACACGACCACATAAGATTTTTACCAAATGATTTTGTACGAAACATACCGCACGATTTCATGCGAAATACATGACCATATAACTAGATCTGTACCAAAATCGTACTATAAGAAATCATGCGATCCTACGGTACGAATTATATCACTTCTTACTTCTATTTTCGGACACGCAGCTTTTCAATGTAATGAGTGCACAAAATTTAGTAAAACTGCTAACTGGATCAGCTATACCACGTCTGTCTACATAGCATAACGTAGGGCCCTACAGTGGATTCTGAATGGAAAATCCTTTCTCTGCACGTAAAATTTATTTTTCTTCATCAGAAACATTATTTAAATAAAACAGATATAACTTAATATTCGAAATCAGGGTGTCAAACTGTGTCGAGTAATTTAGAAACAAACGATTTCTTAAAAAAATATTTTTGTTTAAAAGGTTTTGTCATTAGTCCTCCTCAGTCGATTTTACCTGAATCGTGAAAATTCAAAGTGAAAATCGTGAATGAACAGTGTCAGAAATTCTCTAGAAAACACACAAAATTCTCTCAACTCCAAAAATAAAAATGAGAAATGCCTCAGGACTACCCGCGAAAACGGGAATTGTTATTGATTTCAGAGGAATAATACAGATTGTTCATTTATTGGACAAAATCTATTATAGACAAACAAAGACAGTTATATAAAATGCTAAACATTAAGATATGTGTACCGTTAAAGTACTAGTTATTTTTAAGATTTTGCATCTATTTTCACGTAGTGAAACTTTAACTTGATTATTCAACAAAGGAAATCATTGCCTTCTTAGAGAATAATTATTTGTAAGAGACTATGTAGAAACGCCTTTGTTGAATGTAATTGAATGACGATAAGTTTAATCTGAAGTATCATTGACAGCATACAAGAGTGTCAAGTAGTAAGATGAGAAATCAGTACATTTTACTTCCAATTTTATACTCTTGTATGCACTTGAATGATAAGCATAAAAATACATATTGATGTTTTGTTTAGTTGTCTTAACAGTCATTTCATAACGTGAATAAACATGTTTTTGGATGATATTGAAAGCGAATCGTGTTGACCTCAAACCGTACGGCCAGAGTTCGATTAATAGAAGTGTATTTGATCAGTTGTTAACTCATAGTTAAACCATTCATCATTTTGCGTTTTCTCCTGGGAAAATCTGGACAGTCGATAGAAAAAAAAAAGAAAGAGATGAATACAATTCTCTATTTTGTTTTATTTTAATAAAAAATATCCTTTCTCTATATGCTCGTATCAACGTCTGTCCACATTAGCACTCTCGTTTATAAGTTGTTCGTCTAATAAATCAACTCGACCACCATCGCTTTTATTTCCTTCTTCAAAGCATTTCAAATTAGTTAACATTTTTTTGTATTATGGTAATATGTGTACAATAACGAAATTATTTTCTATTGTGCTATGAAAACAATGAGACAATATGGCAGCAAGTAAGAATCTATCTATATAAACAATTATCATCAATGTGAAAAAGAGAGAAAAAAAAAACGTTTTTTTTAAATAGCATGATTAGATACAAAAAAATATTGATTAACTTATACACACATGCCGAAAGAGTCAAAGTGATTTCCGTACTACATGATATCCCACTTCAGAAATGATACACTAGTTTTAATCAACGGAATGAAAAGAAGAAAAAAAAATGTACAAAAAGAAAACTAAGTGAATTTAGTCAGAAATAGTATTGGACAAAATAAAAAGTTTATACAGCGTAGAGCGTGTATAGAACGAAGAAAAAATGCAGCAGTATTAAGACAAAGTTCAAAGATCTATTACCAAACATATACTCAAAGTGAATAAAAACTAATTTCCTACTGAACTAGACATCAGAAGATTTAAGATACTTTGTTGAAGATTATTCTAATGTTCTTTGAGACAACTCTGACTCTAGTCCACATATTCTACAAATTTCATTGATTCAATAAAGCAAGTGAAAAAACCAAATTCTCTCACTGAACAAAAGTTCAGAGATGTGTTTTTGCTAAAGAAGATTTAAAAATACTTTTTGTTTGATTAAAGAGTAATTTTTAAAATTGAGAGATCGAAATGTTAAAAAAAGCTGGTCCCGCGGCGTCTATCGCCACCCAAGCATTTGAGGCCTATTGTACCACCTCAGAGGTTCGAGCTCTCAGTGTACCACCCGGAAAATGAATTTTTACAGCAAAAAGGCATCCCGCCTACTTTTGTTTGAGGCATTGTGCCTCAAACGTCCCACAGGATAGACGCCCCTGAGCTGGTCAACTGTTTCTAAACGTGAAAATAGTTGAACTCTGTCCAAATATATAGTGTGGAAAAAGCGTGAAAAACTGTAAAAAAACTCCGATGTTTTATTTTAGATATATGAGGTCATTCTATTCACGTTGAACGTTTACAAGCTGTCACGTCTTTTGCGTCAAGCGTAGTATATTTTCGGGCTCAACTCGATTCATTTTACTAGACTTTTTATGTAAATAAGCTAAAACGATAAATATTTACTTCAAAATGACTCTCATTTGATAGAGAAATGGTAAAGAGCTCGAAGAGATCGCATTTAGAGAGAAATGTGCCTCTTCAATACTTGCATCACAACAGAATTTCGAGTACCCACAATCTTTTTACGAACTATTGTCTACATATAATATCATTATAAATCTCATTGGTGTCTAGAATTAAAATAATGTCATAAACAGAGCATTAGTATGTACATTTTGATAGCTGATACTTCTTTTGTATAGGTTAGAAATACAGATGTGAATAAATCTCAATAATGACTATTATTTTTAACATTTGGACTTATCAACGAGATAACAGTTAGAATCAATATTACCCTCATACTGTTTAAAAGAGAATTTAATGTCCATTGTAAAATGTATATTTTTTAGAACACTTTTAATAGAGAACTAGCAAGTAAGGGAATATCTCTTTTGGCACATGCATATCTTTCTGTTTTCTTTCTTTTCTATTGACGCGCTGAGATTAACAAATGTCCGCACATGTGATATCTTATGTGGAAAGAGATATCTCCGTAATTCCTAGATTCCTAATATATTTAACATATGACATAGTTTATTCGAACTGGTTCAAACTCTTTGTACTAACAGAAACGGTTGACAAAACCTTTTAAAAATGTGTGAGATGTATTTTTAGATAGTATTCATGAGAATATTTTCGATAGACGATGTTGAACAGATATGAGTTGTATATGATCAATTCGGATGATGTTATTTTTTTCTTATTGATAGTTTAGTAGTAACAAAAAGAACACGACATATTTGAAAAAACAAAGTAGAATGAATATTACATGAAAATTTAACCAGAAAAAAGGTAGTTGAACAATTACTAGAAACTGTTCAAAATAATGATTAAATGAACAAACGATATGTATAAGGTTTAGGGATAGAAGAAAGAACTTATTTTTTTATTCTGGGAAAAATCATTTCACAAATAGTGCAGGATAATATTTATGATATGCAAAAAAATGAATATAGGCGTATACGACAATATTACATCTTATACAACGTATTTTTAAAGTGCAGATGTCATTTGTAACAAGAAAGTAAAACTAATTCAATGTCTAAGAATGAAACAATGGGAAGAACAGAAGTTAAGATTAAAAATAAATACAATTTTAAAAACAAAAACATTCATAGAATGGGACCAGCCCACAATGTCTTTTAATCCATTAAAATCAGACAAATAGATGTATCTGTATGGTAGCAAAATAAAGAGATGTAATAAATACATAGGTAATAATTTGTATGCATAATATGTTTTATAATAATTAATAAATAATGTTTTTATTTTTATTTGTTAGGTCCTAATCCATATTGAGCTGAGCTCAAACCAAACGGTCCAATTGTGCTGAACGCTGATGTCATCAAATTACTCATTCCTAAAATTAAATTACAATTTATCGAAGGTGAACAGAACTAGTATGAAGTTGAATAAGATTTTTCTTTTTGCAAAAAAATATTCTTTACTTAAGACTTATCTTGACTTAAAAATCTCTTATGGCTGACAATCTACACTTATCCACATTCACGGAGTATATCAGAAGTAGTATATTAGAACTGTACTATCGATCAGTGTTCATAGTAAAATTGTCTATATAAATATGAAATACACAAATAAACGAAACTTTTAAAACATTTATATACAAATACTAACATAGCAGACGACAATAGACCCCAATTTGTAGAAGAATAATGACAATTAGCAGCAGGACTAGGTGGTTTGAATAAGTTGAAAGCACTTCCTTGTTTGAATGCTGTAGGTAAGAAAAGTTGCGAAGATGCTGTATTCACCGAAGTAGCCGAACGACTGGAACGGCTAACTGAAAATACAATAACACTAGCAAAAATCACACACACCCAATGCAATTTATTCTATATGAGCAGAAACACTTAATTTGCTCTAAATAAGCGTGTACAATAAAATAATAAAATGTCAAACGCTTACCATTCAAAAATCCAGGTGAAGATACATTGTAAGATTGTTGTTGTGCATATGCTAATGCTGCTGCACTTCCATAACTGCTTCCATAGCCTCGAGGGGATGTTTGAGCTCTTGAATAGCCTAGAAAGACAAAAAGATGATATAAGAAATTTCTGTCTGTCAGTTGATGGAGCGCGAATAATATACTCCCTAAGCTGATCAAAAAAAGCGGTTACACTTAATAGTTTAACATAAGTCTGTAGCAAATTTCTTCTCTGAAGTACTTTAAATTAGTTAAGCCAGATTAAGACCTATTTTATTTAATAATAATACACATAATATGTAGCCATGCGCTCAATGTAAAAAAATTCAAAAAATTACATGCGATACACAGCAAATATTTAGCGAAAATGAGTTTCTAAGTCATATTAATTAGTCATTGCAAAAATGATTTACAAACGTCTGCTTCTGTTCTTATCATGCTAGAATAATACTATGCTTAATAATTATTATACTTAACAAACACACTTACAGAAGAGCAAAACAAACAAAATTAGGTTAATGAATAAAGAAAGAAAAAAAAACAAATCACGAAACAAAGCAGCTAATTATTATTTCAGAGACAAT